TGTGTGTGTGTGTGTGTGTGTGTGTGTGTGTGTGTGGTGGTGGTGGTAGTGGGGATTGAACCCAGAGCCTTGCACTGAGCTCTACCCCTATGCCTTTAAAAAAAAAAATTTTTTTTTTTTGAGACAGAGTCTAGCCAAATTGCCCAGCCTGGGTTTGAACTTGCAGTCCTCCTGCCTCAGCCTCATAGAGTGCTAGAATTACAGGCATGCACCACCACCCTCAAAAATTACAACTGTCCAGAGGTTTTCCACTTTAAACATCGCCTTCTTCACATGTGCTGTATACTGAGAAGTGTCCTGAAATGGCCATGTCATTATCTCTATTGGTGACAGTGAATCTTCCTTTAGGATTTTGGGTTCCTGGGTATTACTACATTTCATTAAAAAAAAATAAAACAACTATTTGAAAGCCTTACTTTTAGGTAAATACTCTGATTTTCCTCTAACATGGTAAACAGAGTATTAAATGTTAAACATCAATTGTAGTTACATCCAGCAGATCGTGGGGGAAGGGGGATCATTGCTGAGTGTGTGGTTGATGATAGGCCTGTGTTGCAGGAAGCTGAGATTTGGCTCCCTTCCTTCTCCTGAGGCAATTATTTCATCCTCTAAACTTCATTTTTTAAACATGTGAAGAACAGAATTAGAATTGACATATGATGGGCTGGGGATTTAGCTCAGTGGTTTCACCGCCTGCTGCACAAGCACAAAGGACCCAAGTTCTATCCCCGGTACCAAAAAAAAAAAGAATTGACATATGATTCCATTTGTATGAAAAAAATCCAAAAACATTCCCAATGAGAAATGTAATTGCGTTGTATACCTATAATGTACCAATAAAAGAATTTAATAAAGTGCAAAAAAAAAAATCCAAAAAGGTGAGGGACAGGAAGTGGATGACTGGTGGTTGTCTGGGGCTGAGGAGAGTGAGTGAGCGGTGAGTGCTAATGAATAGGGAAATGTCCTACACTCCTGTTGTGCTGACGGTTAGACAGTTCTGTGGATATACCAAAAGCATGCACACTCTAAATGGGTGGGTTTTATTGTATGTGAATCAAATCTCAAAGATCCTTATTAAATGAGCTAATGCATGTAAGGTGTTAGCTTTTCTGTGCTGTGACAAAATACCTTATAAAAACAACCTTGTTAGGGCCGGGGATTTAGCTCGGTTTCACTGCCTGCCTCGAAAGCACAAGGTCCTGAGTTCAATCCCCGGTACCAAAAAACAAAACAAAACAAAAAACAACCTTGTCAAAGATTTCAGTCAGTGGGGCTGAGGTGAGGCAGAGCATCTTGGCAGCAGGTCACGGTGCAGCAAGGCTGCTGGCCTCATGGCAGCCAGGACACAGAGTGCAGGAGGGAGCAGAGAGAAGGGGCCAGGGACCAGATACAGCTCTCACAGCCATGCTGCCGTGATTCACCCCAACAACCAGGCCCCCACCTGTTCGCATCATCTCCCAAAAACATTGTCAAATCCACCAGTGAAGTTAGAGCCCTCGTGATCCAGTCTCTTCAAAAGCTCATCCTTTGGCACATGAGTTTGAGGATTGCTTCACATCTAAACCATTAAGACACAGTGAGTAGACACAGCAAAGGAACAGTAAATATTAGCTCTTCTTACTAGTATAATGCCATTTGTATTAGCAGTGATATAGAAAGACCTTTGAAAAGCACTAGGCTTCCCTGCCAGATCCGCACTCTGGTGGTGAGGTCAGCATTGTGCTGAGCCCTGGGGGTCAGCCTTGTCCAGCCCACTTTACTCGCCCTCCACGGACAGGCCCAGTTGATGGACACCAGGCCCAGGACATCCATCCGCTGAAGGCAGAGAAGGGAACTGTACTTGGGAGGCACAAATTACCTTCCCCACCTCTCAGTGTCACTCCTGTTTAGATCTTTGGTCCCTTTAAAGGCTAATGTTTGTGTTAGGTGTGACGTAGCTCTCTTGACTTCTTTTTTCCAAATAGATACCATCTAGCCTAATGTAATTTATTGATTAGTCATTCCTTTCTCCACCGATGTAAGTCATAAAAAATGAAAATCACACATATACACATAGAATTAATTGCATAAAAAGGAAAATTTAAAGTTCCTTCAAATCTAAAATATCACACAGCTCCTTTCCACAGTTCCTGAAACTCCCATGTTACTCATTTATTTGGGGAAAAGCATTGAGCAGTCCCTATAAGATGTTAGTGTTACCTTAGTAAGCTGATAGAGTAAGCTGTATTAGCCATTACTGCCTTGACTTGGGTCATGTTTTAGTTTACCTAATTTAAGAGAATACAAGTTGCCTCTGTAGTGAGTGCATTGTGGTTGAAAGAACATATGAGATTCAGAAAAGATCCAAGCAGAGGTGCTGCAGGTTAGGAAGGGAGGGAGTGGACCCTTATTCACAGTGCAGTCTGATCAGCCCATTGCATCCTAGACAAAGGAGGGGCAGAAAGAAAAGTTGCAGTATGGCTGAGGGCACAAGACTCATTGACAGGGCAAAGAGACAAAGAGCACAAAAACAACCTTCATTTATTTTGCAGATTTGCCATTGTTGAAGAGTTTTTTGATTTTGTGTTTAAGGCAGGGTTTCATTCAATTGCCCAGGCTGGTCTTGAACTTGCAGTCTTCCAGCCTCACCCTCTTGAGTGCTAGGATTACAGGTGTGGACCACTGTGCCCAGTGAGAGTTTTAAATTGTAACTCCAAATAATGCCCTGCAGTCGGATTTGATGATGATGATGATGGTGTGGATAAGCTTGTCTCCTCCTGTAAAGAAACTAAGAGTAACAACTGTTTGTCAATAAGAAGAGGTCCCTCTTCACTCTTACCCTCCCTCAGCCAGTCTAGGCCACTGGCTAGATAAGTGGACAATGTTACATTCTGTTTGCTAATTTACTTAGAATTACTGTAGAATAAACCAATCAAACTGAATAGAAAATCCAGGCCAGGCATGGGAGGTAGCATTGCTTTCAAATTAGAGAAAGCATTCAGTTAAGTGATAATAAATGAAATGGATTTTTTTGCGGGGGGGAGTCATTAACTCCCTTCATTACAAAAGGCAAGAACATAAATTGCAGAACTTCTTTTCTCACCCTAATAAACATACAAATGTTAAGGCTCTGTTCTTAAGGTTTAATCCTGGTCACAGTTATGAAAGAACTACCCTTGACTGAAAGGAAAAGAGGTTAAAAAAGCCACTGCTTTGAGACAGAATAGATACCATCGGGTTTTTTTTTCTTTTTTTAACTTAGGCAGTTCCCTTTTGTTTCACTTTCTGGGAGAAAGCAACAAGGAAGAAGGTGGGGAGGAGGGAGGGAAGATGGATGCATGCATGCTGGGGGTATTGAGAGTTATATCTGTCCTCCCCGGCAAGGACACATTTCCTTTCAGTTTGATACTGACTCCCCCGTTTTGCTCACCTATATGGTTTGCATTATAATTGTGTCAAGAGAACTCTAATGAAGGGGGGAAAAAAAGCGGAATGGTCTTTGTTATGGATTGTATCTAAATGACCCCCAAAGCCTCATGTGCTCACAGGTGGGGCTTTCAGAGGTGGCTGAATCTAATGTGTGCAATAACTAAGTTAGTCCACTGATTGATTTAGCATAGTTCTGGGTGTGGGTAATGGGAAGGCCCACCCTGTGTGTGGGTGACACCATCCAGTACCTTTGTAGCCTGGATGGAATAAAAGACAAAGGAAGGCTTGCTGCTGCTGCTGCTGCTGCTGCTTTCTCCCTGCTCTGCCATAGACTGTTTCTCTTCTGCCATGCCACCCTGCCTTGGAGCCAGCCAACTATAGACTGAAGCCTCTACAGACTGTGAGCTAAAATAAACCTTTCCTCCTTTAAGTTGTGAGTCTCAGGTATTTTGTCTCAGCAACAAGAAAAGTAACTAAGACAATCTCAGAGTGAATAATAAATCCAGCATCTGTCCTTTCACTTCATTCACAGCCCCGTTTGGCCCCTAAGGATTCAAGCCATGCTCAGAAGCCTGTTGACAGTAATACTCCTCATGCTGTTGTTCTTCATGATTTTCCAGCAGGTAAGGACATAAATAATAACTTGATGAAGCCATAGGATCCAGGAGCAAGACGTCCTTCTCAGGTTAATTTCTTTCTTTTCTGTGCTTGTAGGTCGTAGACTAGAGATGGCACCTTCTCCGGTGCTCTGTCTCCAGAGAGCTCAGTTACCCGTGCCTTTGAAAGGGACGGGGCGGGGATGGGACACAGACATGACAATAGGAAATTCAACTTTTTAACTCTTTCAAAATACTGGGTACTAATTGACTATTGTAATAAATTTTGAATTCTGATTCAATAAGTGAAGTTCTCTTGTCCTACGTTCTCTTATCCATACCTACCTATGAAATCCAAATGCTTAATTTTTATACCCATTTTTTACATACCATTCATATCCAAGACTACAAATAAACTTTTTTTTTTCCTTCAATGCTGAGGATTAAACCCTGGAGCTCACACGTGCTAGGCAAGCACTCTGTCACTGAGATGCTTCACCGGCCCTGAAATAAACTCTTGATTTATTTATTTTATCCACTTGGTAAACTGTGTTTTAATGTGGATAAATTTACTTGGTAAAGAGCTTTCGTACTCCTTTAGTTAATATTTGAAGTTGAAACAATTTTAAGCATGAATGAGAATAATGATAATATACCATGTCTATAAACCCCTTCCTTTGTTCATTCTGTATTCAACAAGAGATTTATATTAGCACCAGTAGGAATCCTTGGCCAACATAATGGCTTTTTAAAAAAAAGTCATTTCCTATTCATCAGTGCATAGCAGATATAGCTACTTTGATCTTAGGAGAGGAAGCTCATAATATCAAAATTCAAAACAATTTTATTTTAAAAAGTAAATTTGACTAGTATAATCTGTTCTCTAGCAATAGAACATACTACCTTAATGGACAGAACTAAATACTACCTTGTTGTGTAGTCAGATCTGCAACCAAGATAATTTATCATATGTAACTGTACTGTGATATTACAGAGCAAGTTGATGATTTGAACCTCACATCTGGAGAAATTGTTTATCTTCTCGAAAAAATAGATACAGACTGGTACAGAGGGAAATGTAGAAACCAGACTGGTGTGTTTCCTGCCAACTACGTCAAAGTTATCGTAAGTGGGTCGGGCTTGTTTCAGTTGGTCATATGCTTTGTGGCTCCAGTGTTACCTGCAGTTGAGAAAAATAGCTAGAAACCTCGATTCATTCTTGAGTTCTAGTTTTCTCTCTTTCATTAATTCATATGGCATTTAGAAAATTGAAAAATAAAAAGCTTTGTTTAGGTAATGATTAACTGTTATGATGTAATGTCTAAATGCTGCCTGGATTATAAATTGAAAGGTCACCACAGGTCAGTTGGTGAATCCGATATTCTGAGGTTTGCTAAACACTTCAGGGTTTATGTTAATTCTTTGAAACATTCAGTGAACATGAATGAAATGGTGCCAGACTGTCCTGAAAGGAGTGTTCTCTGAAGTCACAGTACCACCTCTCTCTCTTTTTTTTTCTTTCTTTGTTTTCTCCAACTATTTATCTCCATTTTTCAAAAAACGCAATTCGGGAATACTGAAGCACTGTTATTGAAGGTAGTGGGCCATTGGTGGTTTTCCACGTCATTTCAAATCTGATTGGGAAAGCCTATGTAAGCACTGGGGCTTTGCATACCCTCACAGCCTGACCCGTGAGTACAGCGGCTCAGCCCAGGGGCTGTGAGGCCTGGGGTGAAAGGAGCCCACCCCACAGACTGCTGTGTTAGCAGGAAGACTGGGACCAGCCCTTAATATAACTCATCCATACTCCAGGTGTCCGGAAAGCTAGCTTAAGTAGTTAGCGTTAACAGCTTATTTGAGGGGGGATAAGCAAATAATTTTCCATTACATCAGAAATCGAGAAAACAAGTATAAGAAAATCTGTATTTTCAAATAGAAATGAGTTTGAGTCTCTTGGATAATGAAATATAGGTCTTAAAAATTGCTTAGTGTATATATGGCCTGATTCTTTGGAGAAATTCAACCACATTCTCTAAATTAATATTAAGAATAATGTTAGCTTTAGCACTCTTCCTCATTTTTCTCCTGCCCAATGTAGCAGTACTTTAAAAAGCACAATTACCACATTGAAATCAATCACCCTGAATCTGCCACATTATTGGTATAAATGTTATTTCTAAGCCCACAGTTTAAAAAATTGTTTTAAAACTTCAAACTCATAGAATTCATCAAGAGGGCCCTGATTTATGTAATATAAACCTCATAGCTGTAAGTAGTCTCAGACTGCATGCACACGGCCAGGAACCTGATTACAGCCCAGCTTTACTGAGCCTCGTAAATGACGTGTGATAGAAAGTGCTTGCCAGTCAGTAGGTGTGTTTAGTGTGGATTCCTTTCTCTTCCTTATTCACACTGAAGGGGGAAAAACATGTTCCAGAGTTACGGAGGGAAGCCATAAGTTTGGTTGAATTGTTTTATTTGGAGGTCAGGAAGGTATTGCAGAATCCTGCCATCTCTGCCCAGATGTGGTGACACTGATGTGTGACAGCACAGTGCCCGATGTCTGGTTTCTATCCTTTTGTTTGTTCTGTTTTGTATTTTAAGACAGGGTCTTGCTGTGTAGTCCAGGTTGGCTTTGAACTCATCCTCGTGCCTCAGCTTCCTGAGTGCTGAGATTACAGGCATACATCCCTATTTCTATCTTAAATTAACTGATTTCTATCTTAAATCCTCTTCAACTGAAGTTTTCAACTTGGAGATCATGGGACAGAGAAAACCATCAGGGGTAGAATGACACTAATATGCTTATTCCAGCAAATAAGAGGATTTTCTGTCCATCCAAGGAGGACTACATCACAAGCTATACCTTTTGTTCAAAACCCAAATTCAGGAATTCTTACTATTTAGCACCTGTCCTACTAATAGGTTCAACACCTAGCTTAACTGCCTGATTTCAATCATGCATTTCCTAATTAACTTTTAAACTTACTAAAGAGTGAAAAAAAAATACAGTTGTTACCATGGTTTTGTCTTTACTAGGTTGATATTCCAGAAGGAGGAAGTGGGAAAAGAGAATCTGTTTCATCTCATTGTGTTAATAAGTAAGTTTTATTTTTCTTTTGCACAAAATGCCGAGAAAGCAAGCAGGTAGATCATGAAGAGTACTAAGCTTAGAAACTTCCAACGTGTGATTACTCAGATCTTCAGTGTCTTTTTGTTTGTTGTTTTTTTCTTTTTTTAATTGAAATAGGGTCTCACCTATGTAGTTCAGACTGGCCTTGAACTCACTAGCCCAGGTCGGCTTTGAACCTGTGGCAATTCTCCTGCCTTAGCCTCCTGAGTGCTGGGATTACAGGCATGCACACCATGCCTGGCTGAGATTTTTGTTTGTTGGCAGTACTGGAGATTGAACTCAGTGCCTTCACACACAGCTACATTCCCAGTCTTTTTTTTTTTTTCCAAGACAGGATCTCACTAAGTTGTCCAGGTGGGACTCAGACTTGCAATCCTACTGGCTCAGCCCTCCAGAGTGCTAGAATTACAGGCATTACCACCATGCCTGGCTTCTCAGTGCCTTTTCAATTATGAGGAAAGTTTGACTTGTTTAAAAGCCATAGTAACTTCTGATGGAAATGCAACCGTGCAGGCCTTGGAGAGAGCAGCCAAGTGGGAGTCTGTCCTGATGCATCCCTCAGCCTGGCCTCAGCCTGAGCAGAGCTGGTTTTGTCCCCTGTGCATTTTAGTTCAACCTTCTTGTGTTTGTCTACCAACAGATTTTTAGAAGGTTCAATTATTTTGTCATAGAATATAATCTCATAGAAATATGAATCCTACAAAACTGCTAGGTGGGGCAGGGGTGTCAGTCAGTGGTAGAGCCCTTGCCTAGGCATTAATGAGGCCCTGGGTTCCATTCCAACCCCAACACCGCAAAACAAAACAAACCTGCTAGACATTGTGTATTGTTCACTTAAAGAGGAACTGGGAGGAATCAAGGAAGATTACATTGAAGGGGTCCTCTTGTGTGTCTGAAGACCTTTGCATGAATTTATATACCTTTTTAATGCATCGTTGTAACTCCTCTGAGATTTAAAACCCTGCCACAATGCCACTTTATATTCTAGTTAAATGAGGAAGTTAATAGGATTCACTACTTGGTGAAGACTGTAAACCTGTCTAGGAATAGGTCAGACAGAAGGAGATGCTCCCAAGGGACTTGAGAAAATAGATGCAAAGGTTATCACAAATAAGAAAACTTCTGATGTCACAGCAGTTGAATTGTTTCGGGTTCAGTTTTTCTCCTGTTTTTAAGCAGCATGTCCCGTGTCAGCAGACTGAATTTAAAGTGGACATGAATAGCCATGGATCCATTGACCTAACTTAAGTCAAAATCTGATTGGAGCTAGGACCAACTTCATCTCTTCAGGCACTTGTTGGTCGTTAAGTTTCTTGCTGTCAAAACTTGCTTTGTGAAGTCTCAAATCAGAAGTTTGGTATTAAATCATACCTTCTAGAGACAGAATTTCATCTCTGCTTTTGTTATTATTTTCAGTCAAAACTGCAAATCAGGAATTTAGCTCACTGCCACTGTGCCTGCCTCACAAGTGCAAGGTCCCAAGTTCAGTCTCTGGTACCAAAAAAAAAAAAAATTGCAGCTCACTTAGGGATTGTTCCAAGGATCAGAAACAGTGCCATTTTGGGGTTTTGTTTTGTTTTGTTTTTTGAGACAGAGGCACGCTATGTAGTTCAGGCTGGCCTTGAACTAGAAGCCATCCTCCTGCCTCAGCCTCTCAAGTGCTAGGATTACAGGCATGTACCACTGTGCCTTTTTTTTTTTTTTAAACAAAGCCTTTTTTAAAGAAGATCCAGGAATCAAAGCTAGGCATAGGGGCGCAGGCCTGTAATCCCAGCTCTTGGGAGGTGGAGGCAGGAGGATCACTGCAAGTTTAAGGCCAGCGTGTGCTACATAGTGAGTCCATGCCAGCCTGAACTACATAGCAAGTCTCTGCCTCAATAACACCAAAAAACTAGAGTGAAAAAAAAAAGGAATCACTTGGGAAAGCAACAGAATTAGGCAGAAGATTATGTGTGCTGACAGGCAAGTTTCCATTGCACCTTCTCCTTATGTGTAAGGCCGCTCTCCCACATATCAGACTCACTGGTTCGTTCAGCACATCCTGTGCCTTTCCTCTGCAAAGCTGATGCCCTGGCCCGCTGCCCTGGTTCTTGGTCAGGAAGTTTGATTTCAGGGTCAGTTCTCCTAAACAAAATGCACTTGTGACTGAAGGGGTTCAGAGTGGGCCACGATTGCTACAGCCCCAGGACACAAACACAAACACAGTCTGGGGAGACTCGATGATGAAGTAGATGGGGTTGGAGGACAGATGTGACAGTGTCAGATGACCATCTGCTGCTCACTCTGTGCCCTTGAGCTTCAGCTCTTCTGAGGGATGGGTCAAGTCTAAAAAGTAAGCCGTCATTTATATATGGCACTCTTTTTGGTGGAAAACTTAAAAATTATTCAAGTAGACCTGTGTCATAGTACACACAGAGAAAAACATTAATTGAAAGACTGAATAAAGGCTTTAAAACACTTTAAAAATTAGTACTAGGGAGCACTTATTCTGTTTTACATAATAAAAGTATTGCCAAACTTGGAAACTGAAAATAAATCCAATTAAAACCTTTTGTTTAAAATATATATACATTCTCTAATTTAACCCACAAATGTGTTCTTTGTTCAGAGACCCAAGATGCATTGCTCGGTTTGAATACATTGGAGATCAGAAGGATGAGTTAAGTTTCTCAGAGGGAGAAATAATTATTCTTAAAGAGTACGTGGATGAAGAATGGGCCAGAGGGGAGCTTGGAGACAGAACCGGGATCTTCCCCCTTAACTTCGTGGAGCTTGCTGAGGATCACCCCCGCTCCGGGCCAGAGGTTTTAAGTGAGTATAGAAAATATGGGGGGTTCTTTAATAGTTTTTTTAATAAATTTTATTTTATTTCATCCCATTATGTTTTTTGTTGTGCCCTATTTCAAGAAAACCAATAATATAATACTTATACTGTATAACCACATTGCCATGTTTTTAAGGTGAAAGGAAAAATTATGTCAAATGGTTATTTGTACAGGGGTTGTCATTACTGCGGTTCTCTTTCAAAGAGCTGGATTTGTTGTTTTGAGGGATCAGCAACAGCTTCATGTAAGAAACGGCAAGGACTTTGAAACAGAAATGGACTGTAGCCGGGCATGGTGGTGCACGCCTGCAATCCCAGCCCTCGGAAGATTGAGGCAGGAGAATCACCATGAGTTTGAGGCCAGCCTGGACTACGTAGAGAAACCCTGTCTCAAAGGGTGGGGGGGGGAGCGGGGGGGAATGTACTGTGGAGTTTAATTAATGAATTAGCGTGTCCCCTCATTAGGTAATCTGTCCTGGAGAGAGGGATACAGGCAAGGAAGCATGGCTCCACCTGGAATCCCAGACCTTCACTCGCCTGACCTCAGTTTTCTCTCGTGCTATGCAGTCTTCTTCTCTGACATTTTGACTTTTTTTTAATGTAGGTACAAAGGTACCACTGAAGACCAAAAAAGAAGATTCTGGCTCAGATTCTCAGGTAGGCTGCTTGAGGGGTAACTGTAGAGACAGCTAGGTTTAAACCCTGTGAAGAATATTAAAATTATAATTACCAAGAGAAAATAGTATGACATCATTTTCCAATCCATATAGCACTTGTTTGCAATACATGAGTTAGAAGGTTAATAGAGTGCAGATAGCGCTCATACAAAGACATGCAAGCCCTGGTAGACAGTGAAGAAAGAAGCTGGGCATGTGCCAGGTACTCAGGAGGCTGAGACAGGAGGATTGCTTGAGCCCAGGAGTTTGAGGTTACGGTGTGATGATATGCTGCCAGCTGTCCGCACTAAATCGGGCAGCAGTGTGGTGAGCAGCTGGCTCTGCTGCCGGGCAGTGGAATTGACCCTGGGAGTAGTCACTGCTCTCCAGGGTGGGCAACAGAGCAAGACCTTGTCTCTTAAAAAAAGAGGAGGAAGAGGAGAGGAGGGGCAGGAAGATGAGGAGGAAGAGGAGAGAAAGTGGGGAAAGACAGAATTCATTTAAAAAGATATCATAAATGGCTAATATTTTTAAAAATTTCAGCTCACTAGTAATCAAGGGAATACATAATAAAGCAACAATAAAAAACCATTTAGCCTATCCATTTAACAAGTCAGTACAACTCTGCACTAAACAAGTAAATTATAAGCATGTAACTGTAAAAAAAAAAGTGCAGGTTATTATTGTTTATCACACTGAAGAAAAGATTAGAAAATGAGAAGATTTTAGTCACAAAGATGGTTACAGTGGTATTAGCATAGTAGGAAAAAAATTGAAATACCTAAATATGACCATTATTGGAAGAATGTTTCAAAGCTGTTAAAACCTAAACTTTATAAAACCCCAAGGACAGTGTCACATGCCTGTAATTCCGTCCCTCCGGGAAGGTGAGCCAGAAGGATCCCAAGTTTGAGCCCCGCCTGGGCAACTTAGTGAGACGGGGCTGAGGGTGTAGCTTAGTGCGAAAGCCTTGGGTTCAGGCCTGAGGAAGAAACATAGACACAACCCTAAATTTATAAAATGTTTTAGGAGGAAGACAGAGAAAGGGGAATAAAATTAAATGTGTAGAATCAAAAAAACTGGAAGGAAGTACTGTATATTTAAATTGTGAATATTAAATTGCCTCTCAGAGCCAGGCATGGTGGCACATGGTGTATTCTGCCTATATTCCTCAGGAGGCTGAGACAGGAGGATGCTGTGAGTTTGAGGCCAGCTTGGACTGCACAGTGAGTTTAAGGCCAGCCTGAGCTCCATAGCAAGACCTTATCTCAAAAATAAATAAACTGCCTCTCTGCGTAAGGTTTTATACATGAGCTGTGGGTTTTTTCCCCACTTAATACATTTCTAAACGTTCCAAATATTTGAGAGCATTCATAGTACTTTTATAGTGAGAAAGAGAAAAGCCTGGGTTAAGCTTTTATGCTGTTTAACGTGACTCCAGAAGTGTGCGAAGGAAGTGGGAATGTGGTAACTGCACTTCTGGAACATGCTTGGAGGACTGAGCCTCATGGGCTCCTTGTGTTGTCAAAATGCCATTTCACACTGGGCTGTGCCTCTCTGAGTTCCTTTGTCCCCGCCCACCATGGAAGTCAGAGGAGAAAGGACCTGACCACCATTCTGGGAAAGGAAATGCTGGCCTGACTGCCTGCATTTTCGGGGAGTGATAGTTCCAGTCTTGAGGGTTGGTTACTCAAGTGCAGGCACAAGAAGGCTCAGGCCAAGGTTTCTCGTTTGCTCATATTGTGTTCTAGTTTTATAAGCCATCCATTATTGAGAATTTAGAAGACACCCCAGGCACCATGCCAGCGGCTCGCTGTGGATTATCTCACGCAGCACTTAGCGGCCGCTGAGCCTCAGCGATGAGCTGCTTTGTGCTGTGAAGCTAGGAGGTAGCAGAGCTGGCTGCAGAATCTTTGCCACCTGACCCAAAGCCTTTGCTTCTTGCTACTATCCTCTACTCCCTACTTGAACTGCTTTTTCCTTTTTTTAACATGGGGCTGGGGATTGAACCTCCTGCCTACCGGGCAAGTACATCTGAGCCCCCTGCTAGAGGCTCTGCAGTGTCGGGCTCCATCCGGCCTTTGCAGAGGTGACCTGTGGGGGCTGAGAGCATCCTTGTCGGAGCAGCCCGCACCTGGGGTGGTAACCCTGACCAGCACAGTTCGCTGTCCCTCATAGAATCAAGTGGGAGTCTTTAAAAGTGTGAATTAATGATATCTAAGCTAAGGAATCTGAGTCTGAATCAAGTAAAGATGTGGGAATTAACCTGTCCGTCGATTCTCCCCAATTTAGATAAAGAGCTTCCCTGAAAATTACTTTGTCAGAGTTTTTTCAGTGTCATACTCTGCATAAGTGTTTGATGCTTTTAAATAATTCTAATTAATATCAGAATATAAAAAAGTTTTTGCTCAAGCATTACATATTTCTTAAAAACACCATAGCTGGGCTGGGGATTTAGCTCAGTGGCACCACACCTGCCTAGCAAGCAGAAGGTCCTGAGTTCAATTGCTGGTACCGGGGGAAAAAAAAAAAAACCCAGCAGGGCCAGGGATTTAACTCAGTGGTTCTGCTGCCTTCATTGCAAGTTCAAGGACCCGAGTTCGATCCCTGGTACCAAAAAAAACACCCAGCAAAGCCACAAATTATGTCAGAGTTGTCATTTAAACTTGTATTTCAAGGAAAAAGTTATTGGAAATTTGGATTCCTGAAACTTGATAGCAACATAAAGGTCTAGGTAATTTAAAGAAGCCTTCCAGCTTTGAAGTCTTGTAACTCCTTAGCTTTGTGTTTGTTTAAATTCTTTTAGGTATACAATACATTTACATTTATCACTGGGTGCTTGTACCTGTACATGATGTATCTTAGTTCTTATTTTTTCCCATTACCTGTGCGTCCTTCACCCCCTCCACCCTTCCCTATTTGCATAGACTTTGTTTCTATATTTTTTCTTTTCTCATAATTTTTTTTTTCCCATTACCTGTGCGTCCTTCACCCCCTCCACCCTTCCCTATTTGCATAGACTTTGTTTCTATATTTTTTCTTTTCTCATAATTTTTCCTCTCCCTTCTTTCCTTTCCCCTTCCCCTCCCACTTCCCCTACCCCTTTGGACCTTTTCTTCCTATTTCAAATTATCAATTATTCATTTTAATCCTTATTTATACTTTCAGTTTCTCTCACCAGAGAAACTATTTGGTATTTACACGTGTGTCCTATTTATTTCACTTAAGAGTATCGCCTCAATATGCATCCATTTAGCTAAAAATGTCTCTAGTTTCTCATTCTTTATGTCTGAGTAGTACTCCATTTTGTAAAAAACCCACATCTTTATCCAGTTTCCAGTTGATGGGCATTTGGGCTGTTTCCAAGTTTTAGCTATTACAAACTGTGCTGCTATAAACATGGGTGCACATATATCGTTGTAGTATGATTCTTTTAATTCTTTTGGGAAGATACCCGGCAGGGGAATAGCTGGGTCAAATGGGACCTCCAGTCCTAGTTTTTTGAGGTATCTCCATACTGATTTCCACAGTGGTTGCACCAGTCTACACTCCCACCAGCAGTGGAGCAGGGTTCCTCTTTCCCCACAGCCCCGCCAGCATTTGTTACTGGTTGATTCTTGATAGCAGCCATTCTTTCTGGGGTGAGGTGGAATCTCAGTGTTGTTTTCATCTGCATCTCTCGAATGACCAGTGATGTTGAACATTTTTTCATATATTTATTTGCTGCTTTTACTTCTTTTTCTGACTACTTAGCTTTTATTCCTATTCTTTAAGCTTTGTACAACTCAGAAGAAAACCTCATATTTCTTACCAGACTTTGGCTTTGTAACAGGATAACAGCCTTTCTGGAGAGTGGTGCAAAGCTCTTCACAGTTTTACAGCTGAGACCAGTGACGACTTGTCTTTCAAGAGGGGAGACCGGATCCTGATCCTCGAGCAGCTGGACTCCAACTGGTACCGGGGCCGACTTCGTGACAAGGAGGGGACCTTCCCTGCGGTGTTCGTGCAGCCCTGCCCAGGTAGGACGGGGCGAGCTCCTACCCCGAGGGGAGCCTGACAGCGCTGGAGCTGTGCGCATCCCTCTTCCCTCAGCCACACAGCTTGTACACCTGCACTGGAAAGAACTCACTGATTGATAAAGCTAGGCAGACTTCATCCATATGCTGCTTTGTTAGAGTTATGGGAAAAAAAGTAAAAATACCTTCCCTAAATAATGGCTCATTTTGTCTACTAAATGTATTTTGTGTCTTATTTTCTACTAAGAAAACATCTTTCATTGTTTTGCAAGTTAAATAAGTTCAAAATTAATTTAAAATGATGTTCTGAGAATGATAAGGCATTTCTTAAATGCTTGGTGATGCATCCCATTTCTTTCAACATATTTGGATTTTTGGTGTCTTTACAGCTGAGGCAAAAAGTATGTCTGCTGTAGGTCTGAAGGGGAGAAAGGCCAAAGCCTTGTATGATTTCCATGGGGAGAATGAAGAGGAGCTCTCCTTCAAGGTCAGGACGTGCATCTTTCTATACCTGCATTAAGCATGAGAGATTCTGAAATGTCTTCATTGAAGGGTAGAATATTTGGGTGGAATACTGATTTTTACCTCAGAATGAAGAGATCTCAGACCCTAATTGTAAGGCAAGGCAGTAGAAAAAGTAAATGAGGCAAATAGGGCTGATAAGTTACATGATCAGCCAGGCATTTAGGAATTTAGAGAAACCTTGGCTTAACAATCCCACAGTCCTTTATAACATCAGATCTCAGTGATATGAGAGTTTTCATTTCTCAGGAATATGGGCATTCCCACCCTAATGAAGGACCATCCCTACATGGCCTGCGATGCCTGCTGCCATCATGCAGTTGAAGTTCTTGGAGAAGTCATATGGTCCCTGCTACTGTCAGCCAGTGGAGCACTGTAGCCTCCTAAGACACTATGTTCTTATCCACAAAAGCACTGACCAGCCAGGGGTGATGGCACCTGCCTGTTATCCCAGACTCGGGAGGCTGAGGCAGGAGGATCACCTTGAGTTCAAGTCCAACCTGGGCTATGTAGGGAGACCTTGTCCAACAAAAAAAGCACTGACCAGAGGGACCGTTTGGGACATAGTCCCACAAGGCTGAGGTACTTTGCAAAGATTTTTTTAAAGAAGCTTAAAATGTAACCCCAATCTTACCTCATCAAAGAAGTGCCTCTTGAAAAATTCCAAAAATTCCGTGGTTCTGTTTCCTCAGTCATAGTTGGGCCACAGCCGAGGAGAGCCCCCAGGGCAGTGCCGTGAGCCATGCCGGAGTGCGGAGTGCAGAGTGCGGCGGTCAGGGACTGCCTGAGGAAGGCCTGGCGGGCTGTCCGAGGCGCCATCCCTGGGGCTCCCTGGGGCGGAGGAAGTCCAGCCTAGAGGAGCGACTGGTCCAGATGTGGCTGACAGCAGAGAGCGCCAAACAAGGTTTCCCCTCGTCCACCAGCCCAGGGAAGAAAGAAGGCGCTCAGAACTTCCACCTGCGGGAGTCGGGAGCAGGCTAAGGCGCATCCCGTTCTGAGAACGCTTACCTTTCTATATTACAGTGCGACTTCCGTTAGGAAAAGCAGCAAATGACAGCTATTTCTAATACCCTAACTCTGCAAAACTAAGTCAGTAACCCTATATTCCTTTCCTTAAAAAAAAGTCTTGATTCTTAACATCCAAAAGTTTGCAAACTTCTGCCTTAATACTTTTCCATCTTGAGAGTCAGTGGCTGAAATTATTCCTTATCTTTACATAAGATGTGACTGCAAGTGAAGAATCTGAATTGAAACTTTGTGGATGTTATTTTGACCTTTCACTTTTATCAAATCAAATAACAGAACTCTTAATACCCTCCAGAAAGCTGTTGTCATTTCCCATATGTAGGGACTCTACGGTAGTTGTGAAGGTTTTTTGTTTTTGTTTCTGTTTTTGCAGCATTGGGGATTGAACCCAGGGCCTTTGCACTACTTTGCACTACATCCCCAGCCCCTTTTTAAAAATTTTTTATTGTGAGACAAGGTTTCACTAAGTCACTAAGTTCTCCCGGCTGGGCTCAAATTCCCAGTCCTCCTGCCTCAGCCTCTCAGAGTACTGGGCATGAGGCATGCACCACCACACCCAGCTTCCAAAGGCTTTTGGTGAGGGACTCTGCCCAGGTTTCAGTATATTGGCCATTTATATTTTATTAGCCACAGAATGTTAGTAGATAGAACTTCATTTTAAAAATAATTCTAGCCTCTGGAAACTGACCTAATATGTGGGTATGGACCGGAGCTAAGAAAATTAACTTCGGTCATCAATTATTAACATTGGTCATGTTGTAATTTAGGAACCTACTTACAGGGCCGGGGATTTAGCTCAGTGGTTCCAGTTCCTGCCTCACAAGCACAAGGTCCCGAGTTTGATCCCCAGTACCAAAAAAAAAAAGGAACCTACTTGTAACAGAAACCTTGAGTAGCCAGAATTTTACAGATCTTAAGAGAGTAAATTAATGATGTAATAATCAACATGTTTCCTTTCCATTTTCCATAAGGAAAAGTCTTAATCTAATCCATTTTTCCAGAGTGCAATTATACTAGGGCTACAGATAAAGTCAAATTAATGTGCTAAAGACATTTTTTCAAAGTAGCCAGTGTCATCTTGGACCATTGTGGAATCCTTTCTTTTGCTTTCACTCATTTTTTCTTTTCTTTGGTTTTTCATTGTAGAATCTTAAACCCAGATATTATGGAAATGGTTAGAAAACCATAAATAACAAAAGAGTAGTGGGGTACAGTGGCACAGGCCTGTAACCCCAGCTACTCAAGAGGCTGAGGCAGGAGGATCATCTGCTAAAGGAATTATATTTGCACAAGAATGAAACAGCCCTGCAGAGAACCCAATGAGGATAACTCAGTGTTCTGAGTCAGGGTTAACCTCTGAGGACAGGAAAAAATACAAATTTGATACTGAGAACAGGGATGCACGGAATAAGCCACATGGCAGAGGAGAAATACCATTATGTGTAAGAATAGATGAGTGCAGAATGCTCAGGACAGTGATAAAAAGCAAGTCTCGAGGGAGCCTTCCTCAGTTAACCAGTCCACGTAAAATGTGGCCATGTAGCCTGGCAGGAACACAAGTCCTGGGCTCACACAAGAACTCAAGAACTGGGTCCTGCTGCTCCCACTCTCTATACATGTAGTACTGGCAAAGTTATGAAATCAATTTCCCCACTCTGATACTCAACAACCTGGACCCACTGAACTGGCAACAAAAGGGATCTGGAAAAAATGAAATCAGAAATAATTTATCAGATAAGAGGAGAAATTGTGCCCCTAGTGCAAGACATGATTAATAAATCTAGAGAGGAGCTCAGGAACATGATGGAATCCCAACATAGGAAACAAATGGAATCCATAAAACAGATGCAAATAGATTTCCAGGACATGAAAAACTCTATTGAAAGTCTACACAGAAGAATGAGCCGGTGTGAGGACAGAATTTCAAATATAGAAGATAAGATTGCAATTAGTGACTAGGAAAAGAAAAATTGCTTCAAAATTATAAGGGAACATGAGAAATCAATCCAGCAGCTGCTAGACGATGCAAAGAAGAATAACATAAGACTGATTGGAGTCAATGAAGAAACAGGAGAGTGTGCAGATGACATAAAAAATCTCTTCACAGAAATAATGGCAGAAAACTTCCCAAGCAGGGGAAAAGAGCTTGACATACAGATAAGTGAGGCATATAGGACTCCAAATAGCCTTGATCAAAAAAAATCTACACATAGGCATGTAATTGTTAAGATTCCAGAAACTCAACAGAAGAACAAAGTTCTCCAAGCAGTGAGAGAAAAGAAACAAATCACATACAAAGGAAAGCCTATCAGAATCACAGCAGACTTCTCAATGCAAACCCTCAAGGCAAGAAGAGCTTGGAGTGACATATTCCAAGCCCTAAAAGAAAACAGCCTCCAACCCAGATTGATGTACCCTACAAAACTATCTTTCAAAATGGATGGAGAAATAAGATGCCTTCATGACAAAGAGCACCTTAGGAACTTTGTGAATACCAAACCAGCACTCCAAAGAATTTTGCACAATATCCTAGGAACAGACATTGAGGATCACAACCCCAGGAAGCAAAGCAGAATGAACCCATCTGGCATGACAAGAAATTAAATGTAAAGAGGGAGAACCCAAGAAAAAGAAAAAGTCATGGCAATGACAAGTCAATACGTTTCAGTTATAACCATCAATGTTGATGGTCTCAATTCACCAATCAAAAAAAATAGACTGCCAGAATGGGTCAAGAAGCAAAATCCAACGATATGCTGCATACAAGAAACACACTTGGGCTGGGGATTTAGCTCAGTGGTTTCACTGCCTGCTGCACAAGCGCAAGGACCCGAGTTCGATCCCCAGAACGAAAAAAAAAAAAAAAAAAAAAAGAAACACACTTAACTCAAAAGGAAACTCATAGACTGAAAGTTAAAGGGTGGAAAACAATCAGTTTCCCTTTCTTTAAAATAAACTTCTGAAAACATCCCTGAAATGAGAATAATAACAGTACCCCTCTCTAGGACCGCAGTGCTGTTTGAATGAAAAGTGTGTGGAATAGGACAGCACACGTCAAGGACATGTGTGGCTCACTCACATCTCTAGGTCGCTGCCTAAATGTCGCCATCAGTGGTGCCCTTTCTGCCTGCCTCATGGGTTGTCATCGCCTTGCCCTCCGCCCCTCTGCCAGCTTGTCTTCTGGCTCTAGAATGAGGCCCTTCGTCGCTGTTGCCAAAATGCCCAGAACAGTGTCCAGCACAGAATAGGTGCTCAGTAAATATTTGTTAGATGAAAGAGTGTGTGTGTGTGTGTGTGTGTGTGTGTGTGTCAGACACTGTTATTTAGTCAAAGGGGATTTTAGATTAGGAGTCTTTAATTTGGAAGGTATAAACTGTAAGGAAAATAAAGTGCAGCAAGGCTGACAATGGCAATTGTTTGTTTCTTTGTTTGCTGCTACAGGGGATTGAACCCAGGGCCTTCGCACTGAGCTACATACCTAGTCCTTTTTTCTTTTTAATTGAATTTGGGATCCTCCTGTCTCAGCCTCCCAGAGGGCTAGGACTACAAATATGCCCAGTGGGAATGGAGTTTGAGGAAAAGAAGCATATAAGAAAATGGTATCATTAGGTTTTCCTTCTCTTTGTGGTATACAGTGGTTCCTTATTTCACGAACTTAATTCTTTCCACAGTTCTGGTCGCAAACCAAATTGGGCGAGAACTGAGTCAAATTTCCCCAAAAGGTCAACATTGAACCTATTGAATTTGATTATGTTCTGGCCCAATTTGGCTTGTGACCAGAATCGTGGATAGAATTAAATTCATGAACCAGGGTACCACTGTACCGTTTAATCCTCTCCGCAAATCAAGATAAATGAGCTCTATGAAGAGAAGGTTATTCACACTGTTCCAGGTGGGCTGCTCACCATGCTCATAATACTTAATAGAAACCAATAATTCTTCCCTATTCCTGTCTTCCTACAGGCTGGAGATGTCATATCAGAGCTGGAATCTGTAGATGATGACTGGATGAGCGGAGAACTAATGGGAAAATCTGGCATATTTCCCAAAAACTACATTCAGTTTTTACAAGTCAGCTAAAGGTGACGCTTGACTGTTCCTGGGCATGAGAACTCACTTGAACTATCAACTCTGACTATCAGATATGTTTTTGCACTATTTTTTTAAACAGAAATATCTAAGGTGTACATGGTACAGTAGAATTTTCTGAAAGCAGAAAACTTGCAGATTTTGTGGTCAGCTTTCTTTCACAGTATAAGCGTGTACACAGAAACCCATGAGCTAGGGATCCACAAGGGAAACATCTAGCAGGATTAGCAAGACAGAGAGACACGTCCCTGGGGAGGGCGTCTGGTGGCACGGCAGCATGGGGAGGCTTCCAAGCAGAAGTCAGACTTGGACATCTGTTTTAATCAGCACAAGTGAATTAACCATGCTTCTTCATTTTTTACTTTAGTTTTAAAAAGAGGACGTTTGACATTCTACATGCTGTAACTATCAGGACATGGTTGGTAATCTAAATTTCATTTCTGATACTCAAATTAATTCTAACAGCTTGAGCACATTAGCCTTAGTGCCAGGACAAATCCTTGCTTCAGGAGGGACAGTTGTTGAAGTAGTCGGAGCGTTTGTAAGCACATGAAATCAGCTCCCACTTGCCAAATGCTCCTGTGTTACTATTTATCATTTGCCTGAAGATTTGAAAGGGGTCAAAATTCGATGTATCTTACTTAGTGAAAAGAACCAAAACCACCCATGAAATGCCTTGCTGATGCAACTAACCCTTCCACATATGTGCCATACTTAATTCTTTCCTCAGTGTATACTTTGTGTTAACAGCACATTTTCTGAATCTGCAATCATTCCTTTGACAATAGTGGTACCCAAAGGAAAATTCATTTTCTTTGCCTTACCCCAGTAATATATAAAAGCTGTGTCTTGTTATAGTAGTACATTATGAATTACATATGATATCTTAGAATGCAAAGCAATTGTTAAGATGAAAAACAGTTCCAAGACCCCACAGCTCCTTTCTGTGCAATATAATCGGAAAGAAAAATAATTTGAGAAGACTGAAGGTTGGTACTTTTCCCCCCCAGCTCATCTCTGCACAATTATTAGCGTGAACCAAAAACCACTTTCTTGCCATCCATTGTTACACATTCCAAGCTTAACAGTGGTTCTTTGAATGACTGAATCAATTACAGTTTATGGGCTTGAGCCAAATAGGTTGAAGACAATCTTCCAAACAGATCAATGGAATGAAATTCCATTGGAAATGTGAAATACTTTGCCAACAATGTTCATGACTTTCTTCTATTTTTGAGAAGAGTTTCATATGCTGGACCACTTTTTAAGCTTTTGTTGTTTTTCCCCATTGTCCAAAAAGCCTAGGCAGCCAGTGATTCCAGCGTTAGCTGAATACCATGAGGAGTTCTGTAAGGAAGCAATATTTACTCTGTCCTTGACTGAAGCTCATCTCCCAGATGTATGTTACATTTGATTGTAGAGTACAGCAGGTGTGTTTTCTACATTTTGAGTAAAGAAGAGAGTATAAAGAAAATTCTCATCAAATTTCTCTCAAAAGTAACTTCATGAGAAATGGATGACTGAAAGCATTATCCAAACTACATGCTCATTGGCAATGAGTTGTACATCAGCAGTAAGGGGCAAAGGTACAGAACGGGACGTGAGCTTTATGTCTTTGCCTGTAGTTGTAACATCATATATTGAGCATTCTGAAAACCTACCTTTACTAGAGAAAAAGAATCCCTCTTAAATGTTACCTTCTGTAAGCAGAATAAGTGCAATAGTTGTAAATCTACTTGACACTTATAATCAACTGAACAGAACTTCTCAAAGTCTCTTTCGGAAACTAGACTGAATTTTTGAGTGGGGATGGTATTCTTACCTTTATATGTCCAGTCCTTTGTACTGTACTGGGTGGATGCCTGGGTGGGTGGATGGATGGATGGATGACTTTCACATTTAGCAATACCCTCTTAGATTTACTCAATATTATTTCTCTTTAATTTGTTGAGAAAAAATCTATATCAAAATAAAATTCATAGTTACCATGTTCTGTTTCGCTCTATCCCACTGTTTTTTGCTTGCTGTTTATTTCCCATTCAACTGGTAGAAAGCACAAATGTAGCCAGTGGGTTTTCATAGTTACTTTCTTATTTGTATATTGATTAAGTTCAAGACTCCATCATCTTTAAGGAGAAACATAATTTTTATGTCCAACCAATCTCATAGGTGAGAAATAGAAACACATTCTGTTTCCTTTGAGGAATTTTATGTGAAAATTGATGTTCATCTAAACCTCTTTAAATCCTGTCTCTGTGTCTTTTTTCTTTGTTAGGTTAAAACTGGAGACACCATTTAATATATTATTAGAGCACTAAAAGTACATTTCTTCCAAAGATGCCCTTTATATGCTGGAGGGGTAATGCAGTATATCTGCCGTTGTGTTCATGGAAGTCGCAGGTCTGGAAATGAGACTGCCACATTGAAAGAATGAGAGAATCGATATATTTATCAATTTATTAGCACTAGCATTTGAAAAAATATTTTCCTTAGGTTTGTAAATCAACACTCTTAACAGTCACTGCTTAGTTCTTACTCAGTTTCTTGGGCTTAGATACATAGGGTATACACCTAGGGGGACTAGTGAACCGGTCTTTGGACCAAGTAATCAGTTCACTTTGGTGTGGTCATTAAGTTTATTCCCTTTAATTAATGTCAAATGCACGTATACCATATGATTTATGATTCAGTGCCATTTGAGTGCCATTGAATTAATTCTTAAGCAGTGATTCCCCCCACCCCACCCCCAGAACTAATGGGAAATCATTTTGTAACCTATGCCTTTTCCTTCACTTTAATTCTGAGGAAAGATCCAGAGGCTCACTCAAGAGCAACACCACCATCTAGGGGTGCCTCGGTGAACTGCAAGCTCTTCCCGCAAACCACAGAGGCGTCCAGGGACCAGAGCTCACCCTGCACCTGCCTCGCTTAAATGCTTTCCGCCTCGAGGGTCACACAGTTCCTGACAGAACCTAGAGAAAAGCCCCTCTCTCTCGATGTCCAGTGCAGCTCTTCGCCCTTTTCTATGCTGCAGTGATACATTTCTCTTCACTCTTAGGCAAATGGAATGGGTCTGTCTCAATGACCTGCCAAAGTGGCAGCTGCTCATCCACTTCTCACGATGAGAAAGTTGTGCAGAGTAAATGGAGGCCCTGAGCTTTTCTCTCCCTAAAGCATGTCTTGTCAGCCTCTCTCAGTTTCATGTAGAGGACCTACATTGGTGTTGCTTAGAAACTTCACCAGGCGATTGGTTTGTAGCAAGCAGGGGCTGTGTGTGGGCTGGGGACGTGGGATCCGTAGGCAGCGTCTGCAGGGCGGAGCCCTGGGAGCAGCGCACAGCCGCCGCTCGGTTCCACGCTAGTGCTGCACAGAACGCTCGCCGACGTGTTTCGGAGTCTAATCCAAGCGCTGGTAACAAGACTTAGATTTCAGAGTCCGGGATACATGCTGGATGTTTTTAAAGGAATCCTAATTGTGCATATACCATGGATTATTTATCTTTAAATACTGGTTGTTTCTTTTATTTTTATTTTTTCTTAAGTACTGGGAATTGAACACAAAGCCTTCACACTGTTATATCCCCAACCCTTTTATTTACATTTTTAAAATTTTTGAGGCGCTGGGGATTTAGCTCAGTGGTTTCGCCGCCTGCTGCACAAGCACAAGGACCTGAGTTCGATCCCCGGTACCAAAAAATATATATATATATTTTTGAGACAAGGTCTCACTAAATTGCCCTGGCTAGGCTTGAGCTTGTTATCTTCCTGCCTCAACCTCCCAGAGTGCTGAGATTATAGGCGTGTACCGCCACACCCAGCTTGTCTGTCTACGTTTCACAAAAATTGATCAATAATCTTAACACTAAAATTGGACTGTGTTTATTTCTTCATTATTAAAAAGAATAGGCCAGGTGCACTGGTGCATGCATTTAGTTCCAGCTACTTAGGAGGCTGAGACAGGAAGATCCCTTGTCCCCAGAAGTTCCAGGCCACCGTGGGCAATACAGTGAGACCCTTCCATCTCAAAAAAACAAAAAACTACATTTATTTCTCCAGTACTGCTGAAGTACTTTACTGGATAAAGTCTTAACTGAAGGACCATTGAGGTCCACCACATTATCCTCCAGCCAGCCCTCCCAGTGGCAACAGCTGACGCTGTTACTTCCTTGGCGGGGTGTGATATCATACACCTATAATCCCACCTATTCAGGAGGCTGAAGCAGGAGGGTTGCATGTTCAAAGCCAGCCTGCACAACATAGCAACACACACACCCAGAAAAGAGTTGTTACTTCCCAAAGGCGTCAGAGCATTGGGCTGACACTCTAGCTCAGCGCTTTACCTAAGTCTATGCGGGGAGACAATGGTGCGCCCTTGTTTAGATGTGTGAAAGTGTCAGCGCTATTTAAAAATCAACACAGTGATGAGAGAGCCGTCTACTTCATCCATATATACAGCGCTCTCTGGAGGCAGATGACTGTGGAAGAGCGGAGAGGCCTGCGTCCTTGCTGAGCTTTGCTGGGCCATGCGAAGGCCCAGGGAGGCCCCGAAGTAGAGGGCTAGGGTGAAGTTGGAGAACAGGGCAGTGAAACCCTGGACCTGTGACGCTGCCTACCAGGGACCACTGTGCCCATGTAAGTGCCAGGGTCTGCCTGCTGGATGGACGGTGGTCTGTCATGACTTGTTGACACAGAACAGACTATTTTGTGACAAAAATGAGAGTAGTGATGAGACCATGTAAGAATCTGAGAGCCAAACATTGTGGCACACACCTGTAATCCTAGCACACAGGAGGATTGCCTCAAGTTTGAGCCCAGCCTGGACTACATAGCAAGACTCTGTCTCAGAAGAAAAGAAAAGAAAAAAGCTGAGTACCTCAGGGAGATGAGGATCCAGATCTCATTGGAATAGAAGTGCAGAGGAGAACTTTTCACACTGATTGTGCCCACAAAGCCGGCAGCCAAATGACTGGGCCCAGTGCCCAGCCGCAGAGCAAGGCTCCTCGTCAGGACCTGGCAGTGAGCGTTACCTGTTGAGCCCTTGACGGTGAGGACAGGAGCGCTGGGCATCATGGCCAGATCTGGCCACGTACTCCTGGAAGTAATGCCCAGGCCGCCGAGCTGAGCCACCTGTGCAGCACAAATCTCGACAGCGTGGAAGTGAAGAAGCCCGTGACAGGGTGGAAGCCATGCGAGTGACCTGGGTATGGTGGGTGGACAGCTGGCCTTCTCTTCCCCACCTCACGCATAGCCTGGTGCGCTGCCACCAGGCTGGGCTGCGCCCCTGTGCCCATTGTTTAAACTGAGTCAAAATTCATACCACCTAGGGCCGGGCATTTAGCTCAGTGGTTCTGCCGCCTGCCTCGAAAGCACAAGGTCCCAAGTTCGATCCTTGGTACAAAAAAAAAAAAAAAATTCACACCAGCTGCACAGTAATGAGTAAATAATCCTGAGTTCTGACAATTACATAGTCACATAACCATCGGTCAGTATAGAGCACACTTCCAGCACCCTGGGAAATCCCTTCGTGCCCATCCCAGTCTCTGCATCTGTTACTGACTCCACCACACACAAACACACACACACACACACACACACACACAAGCAGTCACAGTTCCAATTGCTATCCCCATAGATTGTTTTGCTTGCTGTTAAACTTCATAAAAATGGAACCCTGGTATCTGCTCTCTGGCTTTTGCTAACCATAAAAATGAACACAAAACTTGGCTATTAACGTTGCTGTAAGTAACTTGAAATTCATCCATGCTGAATCAATTCATTCCCTTTTACTACTACTATTTCATCAGACCCATAGGACAGTTTGTTTACCCATTCTCCTATTAGGTTTCCTTATGGACACAGCATTCCACTCCTTTTGGATAAATCACTAGGGTTGCTATTTCTCCCAGACCCTGGCACAGGTGCATGCCTGTAGTCCCAGGTATAGTGGCACCTCGGTTCACAAACTTAATTTGTTGCACATTCTGGAAAAGATGGCGCTCTCTGATTGTGCTGTGTGGGAAAGATGGCCATGGTCATGTCTGTCACCTGACACAGAGTTTACAAACAAAAAATTTTGCCAAATGCTTCTGTTTGTGAACCAAATTCTTTGCAAACAAAAGCATTTGTGATCTGAGGTCCCACTGTGCTTGGGAGACTGAGGCAAAAGGATTGCGTGAGCCCAGAATTCACGGCCACCTGCGTAACCGTGATAGCTTGTGCATTAAAAATAAAATAATAGGGTATATACATATCAGCATCCAACAACAAATCACTCATTGATGCAACTGGATACTTAGTAATATTAAAGAATTACTGAAATTTGGAGATGTGCTAATAGGGTTGTGTTTGTTTCCTTTCAAAGAGTCATTTTAGAGATCGCAGTAGTTTGGGTCTGAAATGTCCTCCAGTGGCCCTGGTGTTAAAGGCTTGGTGCCCAGCCTGTGGCACTATTAGGAGGTGGTGCCTTTAGGAAGGGGTCAGGTGGAAGGAGCCACTGGGACCCTGCCTCTTCCTTTTTGCTTCCTGCTTTCCATGACCAGGGCTCATCCACCACATGTCCTGCCATGACGCACTGTGCTGCCACAGCCCTAAAGCTAACAGGGCCAGGCTACCCCTGTGCAACTCTGAGCCACAGTGAACCTTTCCTCCATGCAAGTTGATTGTCCCAGGTATTTCGTCACAGTAACGGAAAGCTGGCTAACAGATTCATGCTGAAGTATTTTCTTCTGATAGCAGAGTTGGTGCAGAATAATTGGGGAGGAGAAAATGTCAACCTCACAGCGCTTTACTATGTTTATTTATTGGTTCTGATGAGTGAGCCCAGGGTCTTCCCACTGAGCTGCACCCTCAGCACCCCCTCCCTTTAAGACAGGGTCTCTCTGGCTTCCCCAGTCTAAGAGCACTGGGATCACAGCGAGCACCACCACGCCCGGCAGTGCTTGGTGTCTTACCCAGCTTGCATTAGAAGTTAGCCAGCCACAGTTTCATGGATCCTGGCAGATGACCG